GTTTTTCATCGCCGGTTACGACACGACCAGCGCTTCGCTCTCTCATGTCGTCTATTATTTGTCTCAAAACAAAGACAAACAACAGATTCTGAGGGAAGAACTCAACGCTTTGGACACAGACTTCACGTATGAAAACCTAAATCAATGCCAATATTTAAATGCCGTCATCGATGAGAGCCTAAGACTAGCGCCTCCTTTGGCTAGTATTCAACGGGAATGCATTCGTGACTATAAACTGGGAAATACCGGTATAAACATAATTGTATATAACATAACAATATAATATTTATACAATAATTTTATCAATAGGTATAACAGTACCCGCGGGAACTAACATAGAGTTTCAGCCATATGTTATACATAGAGACCCGGAATTATTTGCCGACCCTGATCAGTTTAAACCGGAAAGGTTTCTCAAGCCCACACACCATCCGTACGCGTACATACCCTTTGGTGGCGGCCCTCGACTGTGCGTTGGTATGCGGTTTGCCTTAAATGAGATGCGAATGTGTATCGCAAAGATTGTACACAAGTTTGAGTTCACACTCGCGCCCGGATTTGAGGTCAGTGTATATCAATGATCAACATTTCATTTGTTTTATATTTGTGTTATTTGTTAATTACGTAATTATATTGAATGCTTTATATTGTTGTTTATTTACAGATGGATTATTTCACGGGAAGTATATTAATAACGCCTAAACAAGTTTTGGTTACCATCAAGAATTGCTAATTTATAAATTGTTTATTCTAAACTATTTTATTATATTTACTTTTAATGTGAAACTAATTATTTGTGGCCATGTTAAATGGTAATTATTTTACCTGATCAAAGCTAACAAATTTTATATTTTATGATTATTATAACATTATAACATAAATTATTGTAATTTTTCATTTATATTCTATCATGTTCAATACAAACTTAAACTATTAATAACAATAATTATTAAATATTATTATTAATTTATTAATTAAACATAATAATCGTATTATAAATCGTATATTAATTATAATTTATAAATAAATAACCAAATGATACTTTATAATCAATTACATGGCATTGAAAGCTATTATATAAATTACATTAATTAATTTAAACATTTTTATAAATATTAATAAATCATAATATTAAATCTAAAAACTTGAATGTCATGGTAAATCTTGGCATAAACACAAATTACTTAAATATTAAATTTAAAATTCAAATCAACCAATCATTAGAAGCAAAGGATTAGAAGCACGCGATCGACAGACCAATGGATTAAATGCTTGCTTTCACCAAATCGTGAACCCGAAGCCAGTGTCCGGCCGTAAACACGAGTCCGATCTCACGTAACAAATGATTGATACCAAACACCGGCTCCGGACTCGACTCCGACTCCCGAACGTACAGCTCCTGTACTCTACCGCTGAGCGCAATGTCTCTCAAAGCGGAATCAGTGGCAATATTAATGACGAGTGCGTCGGCGGGCAAGCGATCGACCGCTTCCTTAAGCAATATCGGAGACAACAAAGTATTGACAAAACTCTCGGCCGCAGAGAAACCGGCGTCAGTGCCGCCAGTGTTGGCACCCATTGGCTGCGATGTGGAGAGCCAACGATCGCTGGGCTTTGAGTGGGTTCGCTCGGGCACCACCTTGGTCAATTGGCCGAGTAGCGTTTGGCCCATATTAGGCACAAACATATTACCCGCGTGCAAAAACTCGTGTTTTGGGCTAACATTGGCCACTTCGGTGCCCAAACGAGTTAACACATCGCGCAACTCATGTACGGCCGCTTCCGTCCCAATTGTGATAATATAAGTGTCGGCTAAGTGTGCGAACACACATATGTCGTGCCTATCCATGCAATGGCGTTGAATCTCAGGCCACGAGTTTCTAGCAATAATAGACCATAACCTGTGCGCACCCGTCGGCGGTTTAATAGCTCGACATATGGCCAGACACTGGCGTCGATCGCACAGACCGTCCATATATATGCACATGAGTTCGCCCAGCGATCCTCCCAAATAGCCGTCGGCAGTGATCCCTACGGCGCTCAGGGTGTCGACGAACGCCATGTGATTGACAGCCGTTGCGATAAAAATGCGATAAATGTTTTGCACATTATATTCATTCCTTCCGATAGTTTCGGTCAAACACTCGATGCCGTCGACGCCCAGAGGGGACAGCATTTGGGCCGACATTTCCACCGATGCCTTAAACGCCGGGATTGTCATCAATGCCGGCACCGAATGTGAAACAATTGATCGCAAACCTATAATGTATATTATTATTAATTTTTATAGAGTCCTGAATCAGTATTTATATACCGTATGCTCCAATAGTGTTGCCCATAAACAAAGGTTACATAACGATGTGGTGCGGCTATTACAGTGGCGGCGCCACTGAACCATCAATGCACTATAATAGGCGCACCACATCATTATGTAACCTTTGTTTATGGGCACCACTTTTGGATCATACGGTATAATGCAAACTAAATATGTATTACCGGTAAACATAAACCAAATGCTGTGTTTGTTTTGTGTCGATTGTCTCGCAATGTGTCTCGAGATCTGTTGAAATCGGTCGTTATCTGTAGTCCTCGTGAATACAGCGAATCCGCGCCACAAGTCGTCGTTCACTTTATTCAAGTCATCGCTTCCTTTGAACGCATTGTCCAAAAATGTCCGAAACTGATCGTCGGCTTTCCGGTCGCCGCCGAACCCTTTGTCCAATACATTGGCGACAATATGTTGCGTACGACCGGAGATCACAACCAGTCGTGACTGTTGTTGGGGTTGTCGTCCGCTTTGGACACCACTTTGTGATGTCTCTGGTTTTAGGCTTTCGTACAAATCTAATAATATTCGCGTAATTCATATTAAACTTAACTCTCTATAATTTCACACACTTGGGACCAGAATGTGAAATTATAGAGAGTATTTTATTCAAGTTTGTCAATGATATACTGTATATTGCGATTTATTTTACTAACATATATTCCGACACCAAGCAACCAAATTACCACGTTTTATGTAGCTTAATTTGTGCACAATTTTTTATTTATTTATTTTATTCTCTATCAAAGTCACAAGTTTCCGTTTTTAGCACTTATTATTATCAATTAAAATTAATTGTGAATTTAAAGAGTGTGATATAATAGAGAGTTAAGGTTATTAAATATTATAAATTTGTTATAATTTAAATGACTTATATATAAAATTAATCAAATTAATTATTATTAATGTATTTTAAATTTCTTTTTATGGATTTTTTGTCTAGACTTTATATAGCTTTTACACTAGTCTTTGTAAATGTGTAAACAGCTCAGTCCGGTCCGGTGCATGTCTAGTCCGGTCCGATTAGGTCCGGTAGGCAATGCTAAAATTCTAATCCGGTTCGGAAAATACCACAATAAATATGTCAAAAATTAAAATTTACTTTCATGGAAAAAATTAATATAACTAAATCGGGAATATTCTTATGCGGGAATCCCGCCTGGCCATTATCTTGATATGGTCTGATTTAGTAGATCCAGATGATTTATATACCGTGATCAAAATCTGCCAATGGCCAGTGGCTGCAGAGTTATGGCCAGTTTT